TTGCTGAATGGAAGAAGTCTCCGGCTTGCGCTGATTTCCAATATGAGATTGGATATGTGGCCTTTGAGGCGGGGATTGAGGATGCCCTGACTCATATGCAGGTTTCCTTTACTTCTTTCGGTCTCCAGGATTCGTACCCTAAGGTACGAGGCAAGATTAAGGATCTCGTTCGTGAGGCCGATGAGGAGGAGCAGAGGAAGGTGCTTGCTGAGGAGGGCATGACCGAGGAGTAGCCCCTTGCCTTGTTTTGATTGACTTCTCTTAGGATGTATTTTCTTTTTATGAGACTTGTGATACTTTTTGTTGGAACCTTGAATCTCTAACTTGGCTTGTATATTTGCACCTTTAACCTTTGCCTTTGTTTTTCTTATTTGAAGTAGATTTCATGTGCTCTTACTCCAGCTTGCTTATTGTTTAATACTTGTTTTTTGCTTGCTCATTCACCCCTAGGGGACAAAAAGAAGCCCCTAGGCTTTTCAAGTAACTTTGGTATGAACGAGGGCTAAACGAGCCTTATGTTATTTTTGCAAATACGTGATTTGTGTGAACATCCGGGGGCTAAACGAGCCCTAAGTTATAAATTAACCAAGTAAATTGACTAGGGCCTAGACGAGCCCCAATTAATGAGTGATAGGAGAGCTAGGCTATCCCTGCTTATTATAACAAAGTGAAACGATTTTGGGGCTAATAAGCCCCAAGTTATAAGAGTTATGCTTTTCCAACTTTTAAATTAGGTTGGGGGCTAAACGAGCCCCAAGTTATGAGTGATCTTTTGGCCAGGACTCTATCTCAAATTCTTGAGTATAGGCTAGCATCTTGCCCCAAACATTGGAACAAACTTTAGTGTTAGCGAACCAAAAATGCCTTATGCCCGGCATGTGGTGCTATTAAATGAACGTTGGCTATTCTAATGAGCGATATAAAAGTTTCAAAAACTAAGTAAACAACAAATAAAAAGTGGAAAATAAATGAGGCAAACATCCCAACCGGGGGTTTTTCATTATATTAACAAAAAGATGAAAGTCATTACAATGATGCGATATATAGAAGTTGATCTCCTAGCATCGGCTCTTATTGACCCTAGGGCATCATTGTGTTGAAGATGCTTTAGGCATAAAACCGCCGGAGGTTGTCTGCATTCCATGGCCGGGGGAGGTCCTTGCCATCAGGGGTTTGTAAGCAAAAGGTTCCCGGGCGGACTACCTCTGTAATCTTGTAGGGCCCTTCCCAATTAGGGCTTAGCTTTCCCAATGCCGGGGGCTTGCCTGCAGCCTTACACTTTCGTAGCACCCAATCACCTTCAACCAGGGGCCTTGCCTTGACTTTTTTTTGTTGAAATAACGAGTTATCCTTTGCTTGTATGCTATAGAGCGAAGCAAGGCATATCCCCTTATCTCTGGGAGTAAGTCCAAGGCCAAGGGCTTCAATTGATCATTTTAGTCGGGGTCATAGAAGGTAACCCTGGGGGATGGGATCCCAACTTCCACGGGGAGTACTGCATCACTCTCATATACTAAGGCAAAAGGGGTTTGCCCCGTAGCTTCCTTGACTGTGGTACGAATGGACCATAAGATCCCAGGCAAGTCATCTACCCAAGACCCCTTTGTGCCTTCCAGCATTGTCTTCAACCCTTTCAATATTGTCTTATTTGCCGCCTCCGCTTGGCCATTTGTTTGGGGTCGACACACAGCCGAAAACCTTGTCTTGATCCCAAAACGCCCACAATACTCTATGGTAGGCCCGCTGTTGAATTGTCGGCCATTATCTGAAATTAAGATGCGGGGTACCCCGAAGCGGGTGATGATATTCCTCCAGATGAACTTCTGGACTTGCTTGTCGGTTATTGTTGCCACCGACTCAACCTCAACCCACTTAGTGAAATAATCCACCGCTACTATCAGAAATTTCCTTTGTCCCGAGGCTACGGGGAATGGCCCTAGGATGTCCATGCCCCATCGATCAAAGGGTAGGACTGACTGAATACTTGTGAGGGCGTTGGCTGGAACATGGGGCATGTCAGCGAACCTTTGGCATTTTTCACATTATTTGACAACTTTGGCAGCATCCTCCCTCAGGGTTGGCCAATAAAATCCGGCCCTCAGCGCTTTTCCAGCTATAGTTCTTCCACCTTGATGGCTACCGCATGCCCCTTCACGAATTTCTCTAAGCACATAATTCCCCTCCTCCGGGGTTATGCACTTCAGCAAAGGATGAGTAAATGATTTTTTTATAGAGGATCCCATCATGAAGTAAGAACCACTCACTCCGCTTTTTGATCATTTTGAAGTCAGGGGTGTCCTCGGGCAGCTCCCCCTTTAAGCATTGAATAATTTGGTCCATCCAAGTTTCCCCTCTATCAATGTCCATGACAACAAGTTTTTGGGTACTTGGCTTCTCTAATACTTCCCACATGATATTCCGGGGGGCTATCCCCTCAGCCGAGCTTGCTAATCGGGCAAGAGCATCAGCTTGCTGGTTCTTTGAGCAGGGGATGTGCCTGATCTCGAATTTGTCAAATGATCTTGTCGAGCCCTCATCCTTTTCAAAATAGGCTTTTATGTTCTCCTCCTTCACTTCAAATTCCTTTGTCATTTGCCCTACTATGAGCTGTGAGTCTGAGCATACTTGAACGGATTTTATCTTCATGAGTTGGCATAAGTTCAGCCCCAATATAAGAGTCTCATACTCAGCTTCATTATTCGATGCATGGAAGGCAAAATTGACTGCACATTCAAACTTCTCCCCCTCCAGGGAAATGATAACTAGCCCAGATCCACTCCCGGCCTTACTAGACGACCCATCCACATAAAGGGCCCAAGGGGCGGAGGTGTCAATTGGAGTAGGCCTGTGAGCGCATTCAGCTATGAAGTCGGCTAAGGCTTGGGCCTTGATCTGACCAATCCGTCATTCGGGATGAGTGATTTTTGCTCTTTAGCACTTTCTTGATTGGTTGGCTGGTGAGGACCTTGATTGGGTGTGCTTGAAAATATGGCTTCAACTTCCTACTTGCCATCACTAAAGCATACACCACCTTCTCTATGAGAGTATATCGGGTTTTAGCCCCCCTTAGGGCATGGCTGACAAAATAGACAGGTACTTGGCCTTCATCTCTTTCAGCAACAAGGACCGCACTCAGGGCATAGTCTGATATGGCCAAGTACACAAATAATGCCTCCCCGGGGAGGGGGCTAATAAGCTTCGAAGTGTTCATCAGATGTTCCTTCAGCTGCTGGAAAGCTTTCTCAGCTTCTTCATCCCATAAGAACTTAGGCCTCTTGAGGGCCTTGAAGAAAGACAAACTTTTATCCGCTGATCGGGATAGGAACCTCCCCAATGCGGCTAGGCAGCCTATAAGGAATTGCACTTCCTTCACATTTCGGGGGGATTCCATGTCAAGAGTAGCTTCAATCTTATCGGGGTTGGCATCAATACCCCGCTGATCAACCATGAAGCCCAGACATTTTCCACCTTGCACCCCGAAGACACACTTGCTGGGGTTAAGCTTCATTTTATATTTTCTAAGGGTTGTGAAGGTTTCCCTTAGATCAGCTATGTGGTCAGGGCTTTCCTTGCTTTTCACGATCATATCATCAACATAGGCCTCAACATTGCGACCTAGTTGCCCTTCAAAGATTTTGTTCATCAGACGCTGGTAGGTAGCCCCGGCGTTTTTCAGGTCGAAGGGCATCACATTATAGCAATACACCCCTTGGCTAGTGATAAAGGTTGTGTGGGCTTGATCCTTCTCTGACATGGGGATCTGATGATACCCTGCATTAGCATCCATGAAGCTCAGGAGGGCGTGACCAGCGGCCGAATCCACCAACCTATCAATCTTAGGTAAAGGATGATCATCCTTCGGGCATGCCTTGTTCAAATCTGTAAAATCCACACACATACGCCAAGAACCGTTGGGCTTCCTAACCAGCACAACATTGGATAACCACTCGGTGTATTGGCATTCTCGAATGAAACCCGTTTCGAGAAGCTTTTTAACCTCAGTGGTTTCAACTTTGTTTCTCTGCGGCCCAGCATGTCGGAGTTTTTGCTTGACGGGCTTGTACCCCTCCTTGATGTTCAGCTCATGAGTCATTACCTCGGGGTCTATGCCCGACATTTCATCTGTTGTAAAAGCGAAGATGTCTTTGTACTCTCTAAGTACTTGAATGATTTCTTCCTTGAGCTGGGGGTCCAAGTTCTTTCCCACCCTCACGGTCCGAGCGGGATCATCCCCTAAGGGTATGCTCTCATCTTCTTCAATAGGCCTAGGCCTACCATATTGCTTTGGATTCTCAGCCATGTAAATGCTCATGACTGGGTGCTGAGGTTCATCAATTTCCATGGCTTTCCTCTTGGCCCCCTTATCCTCCTGATTGACGGAGCTCTCAGGTGACTTAAAGCTATCTACATAGCATTTTCTTCCCTCAAACTGATCTCCAAATATCTTGCCCACCGATCCGTCATCGGTCTTAAATTGGAGGAGTAAGTGATAGGTTGAGATGGCAGCCTTAACCCTATTGATAAGGGGTCGGCCAAGGATCATGTTGTATGGCAGAGGGGTATCCACAACTAAGAACGTGTGAACCAAGCTTCTCCCCTTGTTCTTTTCCCCCAAACGAATAGGAAGCTTGATCGTTCCTAAGGGGTACACATGATGCCCCCCAAATCCGACTAAGGGTTTCTCTAGGGGTGTAAGGTCACTCTTCCAAAACGCATCTGCTCGATGCATTCCCATGTGATGATATCTGCTGAACTTCCACTATCTACTAAGATCTTCTTCACCTTAGCATTGGCCACCTTCATATGAATCACTAAGGGGTCATCATGAGGCCTTTGAATCTTTTTTCCTTTATCATCCCCAAATACCATGAGAGGGTCCTTCGGGGTAGATGAGGGAGTGTCAATATCATAGATGGGCTCTTCGAGTGACCGGAAGTGACTTTTGCGTGCCCTGTTAGACAAACCCCCGGAGGCAAACCCTCCGGTTATGACATTGATGCTCAAGTTAGTGTCCGCTGAGCTATGGGATTCTTGCACTTCCTTGGCAGCCTTGCTTTGCTTATCCTTCGGGGGGGGGACTTGAGATATATGTTAAGCTTTCCTTCTTCAGATAGCTTGTTGAGGGCTCTCTTAAGCTCCCTGCAGTTCCGGGTGGTATAACCACACTCCTTGTGGTATTCACACCAAAGCTTCTTGTTCCTCTGCTCTATTGGCGTGTTCATGGGGTTAGGCTTAGGAAGAATAGCCTTGTGCTTTATGTCCAAATAGATCTCACGCCTATCAGCATTGTACTTAAGTCCTTCATCATCACTCTCAGCCCTCCTCGGCCTTCTATTCCTGTTCTCATGATAATTATCTTCTTGCTTCCTCTTCCCCTTGTTGTTTGCTACGGGTGCCTTGCACACCTCACTAGCTTTGATGATCCTTTCAGCTCTCTCCATGGCTTCAGAGAAGGTGCTCACCTTGTCATGGACAAGTTTAAACTTCAGCTTGTTAGACTTGAGGCCAAAGAGAAGGGTTGTGAAGGCAACGTTGTCTTGGAGGTCGGGAAAAAGCTGAGACTCGGTGTTGAACCTCTTGATGTAGTCCTTAAGACTTTCATTTTCTCCTTGCTTCACCGTCATCAAATGAACTCTAGTCTTTGTTTGCCTACTCCCAGCGATGAAGTGCTTTTTGAACTGAGTGGCTAACATGTCAAACGTTCTTATGCTCCCGGGGGTAAGGTTGTTGAATCATGTCTGAGCTATGCCCTTGAGAGTAGTAGGGAAGAACCTACACCATGAGGCCTCACACCCGGTTTGGACTCCCATATGTGCTTTGTAAGCGTTCAAATGGTCCGTTGGGTCCGTCTTTCCATCATAAGGGTCTAATGTAGGGATCTTGACCTTAGGAGGAATAGGGGTATTCATTATCTCCTGGCTGAAGGGGGTGATGTTCTTGACAATCCCAAGCCTCCGCGGCCTGGGGGAGGAAGGACGCTCGGGGCTTTTGCTTACTGAACTAGCGGGCTGATCGGTTCCTCTTCTTGGTCTGGAGGTAGCTGAGTGAATCATGCTATCTCGGTACCTTGTTGACCCATGCCGAGAGCGAACTCTAGTTCGACCTCTCTAGGGGGGTTGTTATCTTCCTTGGAGTTCTCCCTTTTGGAGTGATTATCTCTCGGGCATCTAGAGTGCCATCCTTCAGCCTTCGGTCATTGATGATCTCTCTAGCATCTCTTAGCCTGCTTGGCTGCCTTGTCTCCCGCTGGGGGTCATGGGGCTGATTGGGCTGAGAGCGGCGAGATGTCTGATGCTGAGGCCGAGAGGAGGCTTGATGGAGATGGGACACGTGAGGCGGAGGATTAGGTTGTGGAGCGCTCCCCTGCCTGCCTTGCCCCACCCCTTGGTTGATAAGTGCCCTGAGGCTTTCCTCCAAGTTTCTGTTGATCTAGGCTGCCAACTGGTCCAAGTCTCGGCGAGTGACCACCTGGGGGCTGTTCACTACGAGCCCTAGGTATAATCTCCTCGACTATGTGAGCATTCCTAGCCGAGAGAATTGGAGCTTGCCTAGTAGCATCTTGATGAGTGTTGCGGGGACGCCTAGTGTTCACTATGACTTTTTGTTAGTTATCCCCACAGACGGCGCCACCTGTTTCTAGAAACAGAATGTCTTAGGGTAGTAAGGGTAATCAAGATGTCTTAAGTCTACGTCCAATGAATGTCCGAATGCCTTGCTGTCCGAGAGCTAGGCCTGCAAAAGAGAAAGAAGGTTAACTACCCCGTGGGTGTGACCCGGGAAAGCCCCTCCGATGCTTAAATCAGCGAATGTACTTTCTAGTTAGAGAAAGTAGAGAGAGAAAGAGTACTTTAGAGAGAGAAAGTAGAGAGAGAAGATTAGAGAATTAGGAAAAAGTTACCCTCATCAATGATTGGAGAGCTATTTATAGATGTATTTTCAGGTGGCAGAAGTTGTACTTAATTGGACAGTTTAGGGGTAAATCCGTACTTTTCTCCGACTAATGATGGGCTGGATCATGGAGGGATATTTTCGTAATTCCAGGTCAATGGGCTTAGGACAATAGACTAGGCCCAAACATATACAATTTCATCATCCTTATCCTTATGTTAGCATTTATTCAAAAGAGGAATAATAAAGAAGAAAAAAAAGCTTAATTTGAGGAGTCACTCTACACTTCTCATAAGTTTGAAAAATAGCCACGTTTGTTCTATTATTATAAATTTTCTGACAATACATGTTATCTTACATTCTTACACGTATTAACATAATTTGGCATAAGATATGTTTTCCGCTTTCCAAGTTGTTTGCATCATGTAGATGCACACATTGATTAAAATTGATTATTGATACAACGTGGACAAATATTAACATCAACTAACAACTTACAAATCTTAATACTTATATTCATTTCACAAAATTTTAAAATAAAACGATTTAATGAGTAATAATAAATTTACTTATATAGATATATATCTTAATCATGCATTTTTAACCTCTTAAAATAATGATATCTATTTTAAAGACAACTTTTTTATTCTTAAGTTAAATGTAAAGTTTTAAATATAATTCAACTCAATCGATGAGCTACTGACTATCAATCCCTACATATTAAGTCATTTTTTTATCTAATTTCTACTTGAGTCACTGGCCACCTCATTTAAAAATGATTGAAATTTGTCCATTAACTCAATATATACAATGCTTATTCAGTGTGACTGGCACGACTGACACATGCCAAAACACGAGTAATCCTTGACCGAGTAACCCCAAATTGACTGAGTGACCCTTGATCGATCAAATAACTAACCTTGACCAAGTAACCCTTGACCGACCGAGTAACCCCTGACCAAGTAATCTCGGCCACACGGTGTAGCCAACCAGATATGAAACTTTGTGAACTCAATATATGCTTGGTAAAATAATTTCTTTTATTAAACACCATGATCATTATATTAATATTGTATTTTGTATATCACAAATAATGTCATATCTTTTTTCTCTATGGCCTCTAAAACACTTGAAATTTAACATAAAACTTCTAAAAAAAGGAATTTTTATACACACATATAGCATGAATGTAGCCACATCTTTATGTAGACATTTGATATGTTTATCACAATTTTTTGTATGTGGCCTGATGTACCGTGCGACAGGGGTACCTCGAGTTTCAGTCAGGGGTTATTCAAGTTGTCGGGGTTACTCAAGTTATTCGATCAGGGGTTACTCGAGTTACCCCTAACCGAGTAACCTATGACCAAGTAACCCTTCGAGTAATCCGTAACCGAACTCCTCAAGTAATCCCTCAATTAACCCCTGACTAAGTAACCCTTCAAGTTACTCCTAACTCCTTAAATAACCCTTAACCAAATTACTCGAGTATGTAACTCCTGACCGAACTCCTTAAATAATCCTGACTGAGTAACCCCTCGACTAACCCCTGACGGAGTAACCTTAGAACCGAGTGTACCCCTCGAGTAACCTCTGTCTGAACCCCTCTAGTAACCCCTGACTGAGTAACTCGAGTAACCCCTGACTGAATAACTCAGGTAACCTTTAACAAAATAACAAACATAATCAAACTTTGCATACATGTCGATGCAATAGTTTGACTTAATTTTTATGTAATTAAATATCAATGAAAAATTATATTCTTTTTAATTATAAAACCTTAAATCAATATCTATTTAACAACTTAAAATGATAAAATATGAAACTGCAATAAAAAAATTTAAATAAACTACAATCAATGTTAATATTATAGATAGTGAAAAAAAAATTCTAATGTGTCAGTTTTAAAAGAAAGAATGAAGTAAAAATTAGTGTCGAACTTTGAATTTAAAAATGAGAATTATAGTTTATAGAGAATTATATATCAATCAACTTTTTTACAATTTGTAGATGTTATGTATGAGTGTGTTGTGACTTACTGACTTTAGTTGTCAAATAAATGGTTGTTTATAGGATTAGCAAAAGTTTTAAAACTTGTTATAATAGTTTAGAGATTTCGAATTTAGGAGTTATGTAACAAAATATTATAGCAAATGATTTATATATAGCATGTATAATTTTCTTAAAAAATTAAGTATGATATTACCTAAAATCATGTGGTAGAAAATTAGTAAATTCATTATAATTGTACACAATTTACACACACATATATATATAAGCTATTTACTTATTAGATTAAAATTGTTATAACTTTTCGATTATCAACTTTGTATAATTTAAATTAATGCACAATTAAATATATAAAAAAATTAATAGTCAAAATAGTGGGGCCCTAATCTCCGACTAGCTTGGCCAATTGCTTCTGCCACAATTGGTTTACCTTATCAAGTTTTCATTAATTGCTACAATGCTACAATGGCATATATAGTGCTATATATATGCAATTTACATTTCTAATTTTCCAGCTAGAATCTCCGATTGTGGGGCCCTAATCTCATCATTTCAATCGATTTAAGGCGAGAGAAAAAGCAAAATTGTTTGGCGAACTCAATTGAAGAAAATGTATATCTAATTTGCCTTGTAATTGACATAATTTCTCAATTAAATCTTCAAATTATGGTTAATGGTAAAAAAAATTTGAAATTAGGAGTTTCTGAAATAGGGGGATTTGAGACAATTGTTCTATATTATCCAATCTAAGGTTCATTACTCATTATTTATTATGTATTTATAGCAATTAATTGACTTCAACCATGAAGAGATTAGGGTTTTAATTTTTTTAACAAAAGCAAAAAGAAGGAAACGAAAATTGACAGTTATAAATAGAGGAGAGAGAAATAATTTTAAGATGGAAGTACTAATTGGTAGGCTCCACAGCAACAGATTCTAGCCAGAAAACTTGATAAGGTAGTGCTACTCAAACTTTTTATATTTTTGTGGTATATTTTTCAAAAAAAAGTTTAAATGATAGCTGTTCTCAAAACTTGTCATTTAAATGGTAGTTCTTCGCAATATTTCCCTAATTTTTATTTAATTTTATTTATTCTTTTTTGGCAAGTATTTTTTCAAACAAATTAGCTTGGCCAAGCAAGGCCAAGATAATTGCATTTTCTAGCTCCAATGGTCAAGCTAGTAGCTAGGAATTATTTTAAATTGTAAGCAAGTCCCTAGTTATAACCATTGGAGTTGCTCAAATGGGTTTAAGGGTTAATTCCTACATTTTAAAAAATATGAGCAAACACTTATGAATAGTGCTTGGACAATTATACCCTCTAAAATGTTTATTTACTTAATTACCCTCATTAACGTTAATTAACTCTTTTTTTAAACTCTCAAAAATAGTGTGTGGACATTTATACCCCTAACAATATTTGTTTACATATTTTCCCATAACAATACTTTTGAATAGGTAGGATTGACATAAGCACAAATCAAACGTTTATTAGGTTAAACCATATCAATCTAATAACTTAGGACAATTCGTGACCATATCCCTTACCCCCACTCCATATCTTATCACACATTATTTCAATTATAAATATCCTTAGTTATCACTTATCACTATATAAAAATTATAAAAGTTGATATATTGAAAATATATCGATATTTCTAACAAAACCTCAAGTGACTATATATACATAAAGTAATCCCCGGATTGGACACTTGGCAAAATTTTGTGAAAAAATTTCCCTCTAAAATGTTACTTATAATCAATCTATATTTATACTAAAACAAAGGGCGCCTAGATGCAAAACTAACACATGACACTCTGTCATTCAATATTTTACCGCTCATTTACATACTCCTTATAAACAAATTTTTTATTGTATCTTTTAATTGTATATTGCAACATATTTGACACCATTTATTCTATTTTATTATTGTTTTTTATCTTAATATACTATCTTTTACATGTTTTGACTTATTTCGGTAAGTATGATTAATCCATTATTTGGTTAAAAAATACTTTGTTATATGATAGCAATATTTCGATCTATAACAGTACAAAGTATTACAAGATTTTTGACCCATTAAGGGCCTGTTCACTTCAACTTAATTTCAGTTCAGTTCCGTTCAACTCCAATCAGTTCAGTTCAGTTCAATTCAGCTCCAATCAGTTCAGTTCGGTTTACTTCAGTTCAGCTCTTAATTTCCTTCTCTCATTAAATATTCATTTCAGCTCTATTCAGTTCATTTCAGTTTAGCTTCAATCATTTCAGTTCAGTTCAGCTCATTTCAGTAAATGTGAACAAGCTCTAAATTGTGGGTTTCTAACTCGTCTATATATTGCATATTAAATATTTTGCATCTAGGAGAATAATTCCACAATAACATCAATATGAATTTTTTGAAGAAAATATGGAAAATTAAGTCATGTATTGGATATTAAAATTTTTTGCATCTAGGCAAATTATTTATTGAAGGAAATATGAAATAGTCATATATATGAATATAATTTTAATAATTCAAAAATATAGAAATCTATCAATAGTCTGTAACATATACTTCATAGTACGTATGTGGTATTATAGTATGTCTTTATTATTTAATTCTAAAGTTATTAATAATAATTATATATTAAGGACAAAAAAACAAGATAAAAACAATACTATATTCATTTTTAAATCTCAATTCAATACTAAGAGATTTCAAAGAAAAAATACTTACCTTACCAAGAATTGGATCGGTATTATATTATTCCACTTTACTCCAAAATTATCAACATTTCTATATCCTATAAATATCTCATTTATATCTCTTGATATTTCTATATCACGAACAGCTTCACTAAGAAACACAACTAAAACCGCTAATGATCTCCTAAAACTGTCAAAATCATTAGAATTAGAGAGTGTAATAACAGCATTTTGAACCCTACTAACTCCCATACCAACGTTTTCCAATCCTCAGTTTACCATAATTTTCTTCAAAATGCAATTCTATTACATTAAGAATAATTTAATTTATACAATTTGTTAAACACCGACGTTAGATAACGTATACGTACAAATCATAATTTCAAATATCAAAATAGTGTATGAACCCAAACAAAAGACATTGTATATTTTATTATGTAAGAGATACAACGCTTAAACTTTATTGCATTAGATAATTGACCATATATTATTTATTCTCTTAATGATGCATAGAAAAAAGTATGTAAAGTGTCACTAATTTAGTCTCAACATAAATTTTCAACAAATTAATTACTTTTTAAGTATGGTTTATTACTTTTTATGTATGGTTAATGTAGTTAATCTATATACAAACTCTTCTATAGTGTATATGAGCTCAACTATCTTCCATATAAATGACTTAGACTATTAATATGGTGAATGATCAAGTTAGAGAGGTTAAAAATAAGTTGGTAAAAAAATGTATGAAAAATTAAAAACATGTCTAACAATAATATATATTTTTACGTAATTTGTTAATATATGAATAATTTTAATGTAATAATTAAATGGAGAGTAAAAGCGGAGGGTGAGAGACAGAGTTTTCGAAAGAGGAGGAGGATCTGGTACGCAGATCCACCAAGAAGGTCAATCGAACTCCGGAGAATTCTCCAATTCATCATCCAAATCCAAGTCAAATTGACTAGGATGTGGAGATGTCCTTTTTCGTTGCTGAAACAATGGAAATGACTCCTCAAGCCAAACCTAGGGTATCATTCAACAGTATGACCAAGGGGGAAGGATTACACCCTACAGAGCAAATCATGGAGGATGAGGACTCTGTTTCGGATGATGATATCCCATTGGATTGTGATTCGGAAGATGAATCATGCCCTAATTTCTTGTTGACAAAAGAGGAGAAAAGGAGATTAAGGAAACCTTGGCAAAATGCTTTGATAATCAAGCTATTTGATAAAAAGCTAAGCTATGAAGTCCTTATAAATAGTCTTCGACTGAAATGGTGCCTTAAGGGAGATATCTCCCTCACTGATGTAGGATTTTCCTACTATGTTGTTCGTTTTACGAACATGGAAGACTATAGATTTGTCTTGACTTAGGGACCTTGGATTATAAGGGATAGTTACCTCACTATCCGTAAGTGGGTTCCTAACTTTGTTGCGGATGAGACTTCGATTAAGTTCTTAACGGCTTGGGTGAGAATTCCCCAATTATCAGTGGAATACTATGATAAAAGTTTTTTGCATAGAATTGGTTCTAAAATTGGAAGAGTTATTAATATTGATCGAAATACAGAGACTATGAGCCGAGGTCAGTATGTTCGATTCAGTATCGAAGTGGATTTGTCAAGCCATTACTATCGAAATTTCGGCTTAATGGCAGGGTATGGAGCATCCAGTACGAAGGTTTGAAGCTCATATGCTTCAAATGTAGGAAGCTTGGTCAAAAAGATGCTGATTGTGACATGGAAATTGTCCATGATGACAATGGTGGGAAAATCTTGTAAAAAAAAGGGCCAGAAGAACATCAGCAAGCTATGACTAGGTCAAGACCAGAGGAACAAGACCAGTTCGGAAGTTGGATGTTGGTACAGCATAACACGCAAAAGTATGTACCCAAGAAGAAGGATACTAATCCCAAAGGCCAAAGTCATGATGAGCCGAAAGACAATAAGAGTGAAGGAAATAAACAGAAGAGTGGAGCTCAAGTTGGTAGCAAGGAGAAAGTTAGCCACCAAAAGGGTGCTGCAAGTCAAATCCAAAAGAACAATGGAGCTAGTGGTTCCAGGTTCGAAATTTTGGGTTCGGATCAAGAGTTAAATGATGTTGAGATAGTGCTTGAGCCTAATCGCACTCTAAATAAGGAGATTATAGGAGAAAATATATGTAGTATGGAACAATTGAGGGAGGCCATTAATTTAGGTGAGGATGAATTTATGGGATATAAAAGTGATCTTGTAGAGGGTGAATGTTTAAATGGGATGGATATTGATGGAAAGATTCCTTTGACAGTGGATTTGGGTCTATCTTTGAAGGCAAATTTAGTTAATGTACTAGCTGGAAAGTAAAGGAATAATAATTTTATGGGAAAAGGGAATATTTATCCTATGGAAAAAATTAGGAATAAGGAAAATTAGGATCCTTTGACAAATCAAACTAAGGAACCCTTGGAATATTCCCAAGAAATACCATATCAAAATAATTTGCAATTATTCTCAATTGCATCCAGAACCCCTACTGCTTTACGGAATTTGAGTGAAGGCTGGGAGAGTAGTAGTGGAAATCATGACAAACCACCTGATCCCAATCACGTTGGAAACTCGAATTCCACCAGCTTACTCAACGTTCATAGATTACAAGACAGAAGGCCCGACCTTGACTGTCGTTCATCCGAGTGCAAACAGAGCCCTATTGGAAGGGAGCACGTTTCCGCCACCGGAGCACAATCCACCGGAGATGATGGCTACCATAGACATCCCAATTCGAACGAAGGGTCCTATGAGAGCGCTGATGGAAGCGTTCTTAGGACTTATGCCTGATATCCCCGAAAGGGTGTATGACCGTTACCCGATTTTTCCAGAATTTGTTATGTCAATCAAAATCATGACGTGGAATGTTCAGGGAGCGGGAAACAAATTAGCTTCGATTCGCGAGCTAATTAGAATCAATGATCAAACCATCTTAGCCTTAGTTGAAACTCACTTGAGTGGAGAGCAAGCACAGAAGATTTGTGATAGAATTGGCTTCTCGGGTCAAACTAGAGTAGAAGCACAAGGTTTTAGTGGTGGGATTTGGCTGTTTTGGAGGAATGAATTGGTTACTGTAAATGTCCTAGATGAAAGCACCCAACATATCACTATTGAAATTGACAAAAGAGGAGAAGAGCCTTGGTTTTTCTCGGCTATTTATGCCAGTCCCGACTCGAGTACTAGAAAAGAACTATGGAGACAGTTGGAAAATATTAGAAGATCCCTTCATGGCCCGTGGATCTTGGCAGGGGACTTTAATGACACAACTTCAATGACCGAGAGAAGTGGGGTTGGAGGAACGGAGATGCAAAAACGATGTGCTGAATTTAGTGATCGGATTGACTCGAATAATCTTATCAATCTCGGCTGCTCAGGCCCTGCTCATACATGGAGTAGAGGCTATCTGCAATAAAACAGCAAGATGGACAGGGGTGGTGAATGAGAGTGGAGAGTGAAATTTGATGAAGGGGCGGTACGTAATCTACCAAAAATTACTTCTGATCATTGCCCAATTCTCATGAGTACGAATGGTTTTTCTCCTCTCCCTATAGCTGCTAAACCATTTCGTTTTCGAGAAACTTGGCTACATCATGATAGATTCAATGAATTTGTCACTTCCAACTGGACAAATGAAGAGAGTTTACATACTTTCTCACCGAAGTTTGCTGAAAAATTGAATTTATGGAACAAGAATATTTTCCGCAATATATTCAGAAAAAAGGCAGAGCTGTTTGCAAGACTTGAAGGAATTCAAAAATCATTAGCAGCAGGAGGACCTCAGTACCTTTTAAAACTTGAGGAGAAATTGAAAGCTGAGATGAATCGAGTGTTAGATGAAGAAGAAACCTTGTGGTTCCAAAAATCAAGAGCTGATGCCATTTGTTTTGGGTGTTTTTTGTCCATCGGGAGAGTTATGCCACAAAGATTGGTCCGGCTGAGCTGTACCTGCAAAAACAACGGAGACTCAGGGTGGTTGGAGCTCCGCCTCCGAAGATCAAGTAAGTAACTTGAAAGAGAATAAAGAGAACGGAAATTTAGGTGGGGATCTGCTTGAATTCCAAGCTCAGGTGTTTCTCTGATGAGAGAGAATGTAGGTGTAATAAATGATTCAATGTGTCCCCAAAATGGAGAAATATCTCCTTATTTATAGGGTCGTTGGAGAATGTGCCCCTATCTAGGTCACTTAACCTAGATTTTAGTGGGTTGCGCTGTTTTACGGCGCTCCTAGGGATTTGGGCCCTTGAAGGCCGCCATTTCAGAGGCTTATCTAAGGGGGCCACGTGTCAAGAGGATATTGGGCCACTTGGGCCATCCTGAGCTCACCACGTGGCCTCCTCTCAATGGTCCACTTGTCTAGGGTATTTTTACCCTAAACATTTGCCCCTCACAAGGGTCACGTGCATGTCACGTGGGGCCTTTGACACGTGTCCACCTATCAGAGGTGAACAATAACAGCGGATAGTAAAATTTAAATTTCAAACGGGAATGCCCCCGTTTTCACCTTCTCTAAATAGAAGTTTACTTCCCCCTTTTCTCTCACTTCATTTTCATTTGACTTTCTAGAGAGAGAAAGAGAGATTTTTAGAGAGAGATTCTCTGCCTCCGTCTGCGTCAAAGTTTTTTGGATTTCCGCGTGCTAACGTTGCAACACCCGGTTCACTGTCTGTAGCTATTTTCAGATTTATCAGAGCTAAAGTAAGGTAACCGCCTGCACCATCTTTAGCTTTTCTTGTTTTCAACTTGTATACATTCTTTCTCCGCCTGTATACATAGTTTAGAAATAAAAATGAGTTCTCAATCCACACACTTGGCACTGCCTAGGACAGTTAGTCGGTCCCCCGGAACGGCTGAGTCTAAAACAGGGGGTGCCTTTTATGGACTGTCAGAATCGATGTGCTCATCTCCGAATTCCTCCCTCTCTGTGTCTGTGCAGGACACAATGGCCAGAATGAAACAGACGGCCAGAAAGTCTAGGAGCCGACGTACTATGTCAGTGCCAGCCGATGAGGTTGTTCCGGTGGGGAACATGAGGATTTGGAGGAGAGCGGTTCTGATGAAGAGGCTCCCTCTACTTCCGGGAGCTCAAACGTACGGGAGGAAGGCGGTGAGGAAGTCGCCTCCTCTAATGGATCCGGCGATGATGAGGCCGGTGAAGGGTCAAGGGCCGAATCTTCTGGCTCTGACCAGGATAACTTTGCGGCTGACTATCAGCAGCCGCCTAAAGTCGCTGACAACCCTAACCCTAAAAGGATTAGAATGCAGTCGGGTGACATTGCCCTGTTAAAGGGCGGCTTTAGGGCTTTCAAAGAGAAGCACCCCTTTGGAAAGGGGTGGGATATTATCATCCCGCCTGTTGACGCAGTAATGTCATGGGATGATGACATAGATAATGCTGACCATTACTTTGTCTGCTACGAGGCGGTCATAGAAGCTGGCCTCCGATTCCCCCTCCATACCGGGATTAGGAAAATCCTGAAGGGGTATGATCTAGGAGTTTGGCAGCTCACCCCCAACTCGTGGGTGAACATTTTGAGTTACATTGCCGCCTGCGAACTCCAAAACATAACTCCCAGCTTCTCCGCCTTCGCTCATATGCATTACTTGAGCAAGGCACCAGGCGGTCATGGGGCATGGTACACTCTTTCAACCTTGCCCCAGTATTTGATGAGTTTGGACAAGGTGTCCAAATGGTCCGGGTGGAAAGATAAGTTTTATTTGATTTCCTCTCCAACTCTGAGACACAACCGGACACTGCGTCGGTACAACACGGAACCGGCTCTTCTGGGCAAGAAATGCCCTCCCCGGAGCTATCTACTAAGGTCTGGGAGAAAATAATGGAGTCGGGTTTCTTTGAAACCACTACTGAGCCCATGGGGGATGGGACTCATATTATAGTTCCCAAAAACTGGATCCCCCACCCGGACTACTTCAAGGACGAATGCTTCTTGTCCGCCTGTGGGTTAAGTCCCATGTTCCCCAAGGGTAGATCCACTTGCATCCGGAGTGTTTGTGATTTTATTCTTTCATTACAAACTTTCCATAATTTCTTCTAACTTTTACTCTATTCATGCAGCCAACGCCTTGAAGATGGTTGTTCCGGCAAAAACTCCGGCTAAGTTGGCGGCGCTGCTGCGCAAGGAGGCTGCTATTTCAAGGAAAGCAGTCGTTGAAGCGAAAGAGTCCAAGAAGGGCGGGGTAAGACCACTTGTCTTAGTGTATATATATAAGGCAGTTTGCCAGTTGGGTATACTTAACTTTTTTCATTTTGCAGGAATTTGTAAAACGTGTGCCATGATCCTTCTCCAAGCTTTTCAAAAGGCAATGAGAAGATCTAGAAAAGGTTCCGGCTGCGAAGGCCGCTAGAAAGGACCCTCCCCGATCAAACTCTTCTGCCAAATCCGATCGTCCCACGACCGGTGGCAAATCTCCTGCTGCAATGAAGATTTTGAGCAAAGCCTCGGAGCGTTCACAGCAGAAAGCGTCGGATGCCTCCACGACATCGAAGGGTGGCCCGCCACCTAATGTTGCAACCAGTGCGGCAACAACCGCGGGGGAAGAGACGCCTACGCCCCATCCGGATACCCAAGGTAAGGGAAAGATTGAAATAACTTGGCCACTTGACTTCATGAGAGTCAAGACTAAGTTAGACCCCTCCGGGGGTTCAGTCAGCAGCCGCAACGGATGAATGCCAACTATGCTGCTTCCTTCTCACAGAGTAATTCTACTTTTGGTGCAGATCTTACATCTGACGAGCCGGATCTTGCTGGCTTTGCAAAACGGATGGTGAGGACCCTCACCCGGTCAGAGAAGAATTAAATACCTATCTGCAGGTAGTGGACTTCGACCAGATAATGGGCCAGCTGGCTGAGGTAAAGAATCTCACAACCCTGATATCTTTTCTGTATTTTAACTAAGTATATCATAATCCGGCTGTTCTTTTCCCAGGTAATGCTGAGAGTGGACGGACTCCGGGGCCCCTTTAGGCGGAAATAGGAAAAGGTAAATTACGCCAAACGGAGGGCCCTTGAAAACCTAAACTCTGCTGAATATGCTAATTATATGTGTGATTTAGAGATTAAAGCAGTAGAGTTGAAACAGGAGGAGCTGATCCGGAGCTTGACGGCTGTAAACAATGAGGCCACCAGCCGGGCTAATGACCTTGAGCAAAAACTGAAGGATGCTCAATCTGAACTCAAAGCATTAGAAGATGCTGACAAATAAAATACCAAACTCCGGGAAGATGTCTCCCGACTGGGGGTCGAGATCGTCACTCTGCGAAACAAGCAGTCGGACGAGATCGCTCAGGAGCAAAAACGGCCGATGGAGGAAAATGAGCGGGACAATGCAGCCCGCCTAAAGATCACTTGGAGCCTCCTTTACCCAGATATAGACTTTGAAGTCTATAAACTTAGGTATGATTACGCCACTGAGGTGTATGATGCCCAAGTGCTGGGTGAGGCTCCTCCGCCTCGCTTCCAAGACTTGGCTGCCGAGCAAGGGTATGAAGTGTCGGACACTAAGGAGTCGGCGGAGATAGAGCGAAAGGAAGGTAATCAGCCTCAAGTAGCTGATGACCAATCTGAAGCCCTCCCAACCGGCCATGACTAGTCAGAGCAGCAACTTCCACCTCAGTCTTAGGCGAGCCTCCCCAAATTCAGCGGCAGTATGCCAATTTCTTTCTTTTCCGGCTTGTATGCCGAGTAATGTTGTATTTTTACCAACTGTGGAGTTAGGTAACAATCATTTTATTTTGCTTCTTCTCCGGATGTTATTCCGGCTAACAATTATATATATTTGTGTTTGTTTGAATTTTTCAATTTGACTTTTGCGTATATTTGCAATTCTTTAATATTTTTCCTAACTTAAAAAAGCATGCTGCAATTTGCAATCCGGGTGCTCTTGCCCCTAGACGGCTGTGTGGATGGTTTCATTTCAAATTGATTGATTGGCTTGAAAACACTTGATACTTGGAGAAGTATGAGGTGTTTTTAGGCCAATCAATCACAATGGTGATTGCCCCAAACCAAGTGCACAGCCGGCCATTAGAACGGGTGCTTCGAGTATCTTACCCAGACGGTAATATTTCATCTAGGATTATTACATAACCATTACACAAAATCTTTTTCCCCAATTGGGAGAGAGAGTGCAACTTTGGAACAAATAATCTAAGTGGGAACTTCTGCCAGCAACCGACTGATGCCTCGGGGTATCCGGTATTCGGTAACTTAACCTTTTCTCGTATATTATTCAGGTCAGACGGCTATGAGTTGATCAATTTGGTCGTTCAATTTTTGTCGTCTGCATAGGTACGTAGAACTGACGAAGAGTCTGTTCTCTGCGACGATTGCACCCGGAGGGGTGTCGTCGGACGCCATTGTCCATGTTGGGACATGCGATTTTATAAAACAAGCA